AGTCTCAACTAATTAGGAGGCCAAGGTGGGAGGATCCCTGGAGGCCTGGAGATCGAGGTGGCATCGGGCCATGATTGCACCACTGTACTCCAGCCTGGGTGACAAAGTGAGACCCTGTCTCAAAAAATATAAGAATAAGAGGCCGGATGCGGTGGCCCACGCCTGTAATCCCAGTAATTTGGAAGGCTGAGGCAGACGGATCATGAGGTCAGGAGATCAAGACCATCCTGGCTAACATGGTGAAACCCCATCTCTACTAAAAATACAAAAAATTAGCTGGGCATTGGTGGCATGTGCCTGTAGTCCTAGCTACTTGGGAGGCTGAGGCAGGAGAATTGTTTGAATCCAGGAGGCAGAGGTTGCAGTGAGCCGAGATTGCACCAGTGCACTCCAGCCTGGGCAACATAGTGAGACTCCATCTAAAAATAAATAAGTAAATAAATAGGCTGGATACAGTGGTTTACACCTATAATCCCAACACTTTGGGAGGCCAAGGCAGGTGGATCATGAGGTTAAGGGATCGAGACCATACTGGCTAACATGGTGAAACCCTGTCTCACTAAAAATACAAAAATTAGCTGGGTGTTGTGGTGCGCGCCTGTAGTTCCAGCTACTTGGGAGGCTGAGACAGGAGAATCACTTGAACCCAGGAGGCAGAGGTTACAGTGAGCCAAGATTGTGACACTGCACTCCAGTCTGGTGACAGAGTGAGACTTTGTCAATCAATCAATAAAATAATAAAATAGGTAAGAGTTATTTCCTTTGGGATTCAGAGCCCAGTGAGAGAGAAATACATGATAAGAAAGATCTAAGACCTTATTGGAGCATAGAGGAGGAAGTACTTAACTTTGTCTGGAAAAGTGTAGGATAGCTTTCTGTAAGAAGAGTTCCACAGAGGCTTGAAGCAATTCATCAAACAGACATAGGAAAAAGAGGAGGTAACAGCATGATTCCAAGCAGAAGTAATGTCATCATAAATGGAGTGAATGGCATATTCAAGGATCAGTTGAAGCATTTTAAACAGCAGAGTGACATGATCAGATGTGCATTTTACAAAAAAGACCCTGCCTATGTTTTGGAGACTGTATCAGAGATTTAAAGACTAGAGGGAAAAGAGACTGATTAAAAAGTTACTAGAGGCCAAGGTCGGCGGGATAGTGCAGGCCTGTAATCCCAGCACTTTGCGATGTCAGGACACGAGGATCACTTGATGTCAAGATTTTGAGATCAGCCTGGCCAACATGGTAAAACCTCATCTCTACTAAAAATACAAAAGTTACCCAGGTGTGGTGGTGGGCACTTGTAATTCCAGTTACTCAGGAGGCCGAGGCAGGAGAATCACTTGAACCTGGGAGACAGAGGTTGCAGTGAGCCACAATTGCACCACTGCACTCCAGTCTGGGTGACAGAGCGAGACTTCGTCTCAAAAAAAAAAAAGCTATTAGAAACCGGACACAGTGGTTCATGCTTGTAATTCCAGCACTTTGGGAGGCCATGGTGGGTGGATTGCTTGAGCCCAGGAGCAATCTCAAAAAAACTTTTTTTTTTTTTTTTTTAACTCAGTCTCAAAAAGTTATTAGAGAATAATCTAGGTGGGAATGGTAAAGGCAATGGCTGATAAAGATGAGGCGGGACTGGTTTTAAGAGATTTTGAGCCAGGCACAATGGCTCACACCTGTAATCCCAGCACTCCGGGAGGCTAGACAGAAGAGGAGGATCATTTGAGGTGAGGTGTTCGAGACCAGCCTGGGCAACATAGTGAGATCCTTGTCTCTACAAAATTTTTTTTTTTTAATTAGCCAGGCATGGTGGCACACGCCTGTAGTCCCAACTACTCAGGATGCTGATATGAGAAGAGACTTGAGCTATGATTGCACCACTGCACTCCAGCCTGGGCGATAGCATGAGACCCTGTCTCTTAAAAATAAAAACAAAAGGTCAGGTGCAGTGGCTTACACCTATAATCCCAGCAATTTGGGAGGCCAAGGCTGGTGGGTCACCTGAGGTCAGGAGTTCGAGACCAGCCTGGCCCATATGGCAAAACTTTGTCTCTACTAAAAATACAAAAATTAGCTGGTCGTGGTGGCATATGCCTGTAGTTCCAGCTACTTGGGAGGCTGAGGCAGGAGAATCTCTTGAACCTGGGAGGTGGAGGTTGCAGTGAGCTGAGATCATGCCACTGCACTCTACCCTGGGTGACAGAGCAAGACTCTGAACTCAAAAAACAAAAAAACAAGATAGAGACTTTTTTTTCCTGCAGAAACAGAATTATTGATGATTTTACTGAGCATGACTTGTCTGTAGATGATTATCTACATATGTGATGGAGTGGAAAGGGAAGGATTTGTGATGACCAAAATCAGCCTGCTTTTGGATTCTGAGTAAATGGCAGTACTGTGTTTTACTTTTTGACACAGGAAATGAAGGAGGAGGGGAGGGCTTTAGTACATAGTTAGGCATTTGGCTTGGGCATGGTGAGTTTGAGTTGTTTTTTTTTGAGATGGAGTCTTCTTCTGTCCCCAGGCTGGAGTGCATTGGAGTGCAGTGGCACAATCTTGGCTCACTGCAACCTCCACCTCCTGA